TCATTAAATATCCTAATTTCACGATCACAGTTAGTTACCTATTTATTTTACCATTTTTCTTCGCTGAATGGATGGAAGCTTACGTATCAATCTTCTCCAAACTGGCAAAAAAGAAATACAATCCCCTTCCCTCATAGAAATGCTAATCGAAGCAGGTGATTAAGACGCAAACAAGAGGAACTCTGTTCAGAAATATCAACCCTTTCGCTTGTCCATGTCAAGAATATTCATGTCTAGACCTTTTTTTTTATCCCTTCGATCTTTTCACTTACATATATATGTATACATTGACTCGTGAAAGTATTCAAACACTGTAAATAAAATTAATTTTTAATAAAATTAACAATGTTAGTACAAGATTATATATGCAAAATAATTTTTTTTTAAATTTCATTTCTGATAATGTGAAATGAATTTTTCCTCTTCCTTTTTTTTTTTTTAAGTAAAACTTTGAAACTCGAAATATTTTCTTTTTTTTTCTTGTCTGTCAAAAAGAATAATTACGTTTAGCGCATAAGTATAACATAAATCTTGTATATAAAAATCGGCGATAAGATTTCCTCGCAAGATAATACTTTCGTGAGCTACTGTACATCTCCCCATTTCGATCGAAGACAGTTAAAACGACAGTATATCTTCAGAGCGTAGAAAGACACGGTTGACACCAAACAGAAATAGTTTCACGTAGAGACAGTCTTTTATGACAGTCTCGACGTGAAAATGGAAGGAAGAGGAGAAAGAGGCGAAAAAAGAAAAAAAAAAAAAAGAAAAAAAGAAAAAAAGAAAAAAAGAAAAAAAGAAAAAAAGAAAAAAAGAAAAAAAGAAAAAAAGAAAAAAAGAAAAAAAGAAAAAAAGAAAAAAAGCTCTCCTCCCTTTTTTTTTTTTTAAGGAAAACTTTGAAACTCGAAATATTTTCTTTTTTTTCTTGTCTGTCAAAAAGAATAATTATGTTTAGCGCATAACTACAATAGAAATCTTGTATATAAAAAGCGGCGATAAGATTTCCTCGCAAGATAATACTTTCGCGAGCTACTGTACATCTCCCCATTTCGATCGAAGACAGTTAAAACGACCGTATATCTTCAGAGCGTAGAAAGACACGGTTGACACCAAACAGAAATAGTTTCCCGGAGGAGCAGTTTTTTTTGTCAGTCCCGCCGTGAAAAGGGAAGGAAAGGGAAAAAAGGGCGAAAAAAAAAAAAAAAAAAAAAAAAAAAAAGAAAGAAAAGAGAAGAAAGTCCTCCGTCCGTTTTCTTTCTCGGTTCGAGGAGGATGGTACGGGGATTCTCCCAGCCCAATCGTTCCACCATTCGTCGAGGTTCGATCTTTATCTGAAATATTATCGCGTGGATCAAGCCTATACTTTCGTCTAATTAATCACGCCGCAAGCTGCAATTGTTCGAGCTAGGCGCTATTAAATTCCCTTGTGGAAGCGAGCGCGAGATTCACGGGTATTAAAATTACCTTGTCGCTTAGGCGGGATAGAATTACAGGCATTTACTTAATTCATCGGCCGATTTTGCTCTACCCTTGATCATTGCTTTTTAACGCTCTCTCTGTCTCTCTTTCTCTTTCCCTCTACCGTGTGATCAAGAGAGGAAGCGTTTTGTTTAGTTGGCCATAGATTGTTATTTTCGTGCTGCGGGATCCCGGTTATTTGCAACGAAAACGTCGATTAGAACGATGATTTTTGAAAATCAATAATGGAGAAGATTATCTGCCCAGATAAATTCGAAGGAATTGGATGTAGAGAATAGATTTGTTATTGATACGAATAATTATTTTTAGACGTTATACAAACAAAATTTTATTTTATAAATATCGTACGTTGTTTAATATTATGTTATATATATATATATAGGAAGATGACCTAAAAGAGAAATAAAAAATATTATATTATTATAAATCAGACTTATATTCAATTTTCAAAATTCCAAAAATGTCAAAATTAATATTTCTTTTATTGAATTACTAAAATGCAAATGTCGTAAAAACGAATAAGAAATTTATTACTTACTAAAGACCAGAATCTAAATAATTTCGTTCCAGTTGATTCTCAATCTCAAACAAATCTCGAACTAATGCCATGGATTTGTTCCAGTTCGAGCAAGATCGGTCGTATATTCCGTCTTAACCATTACGGCTTAATCGCCGTTATCGTCTCGCAGTAGTATATTCTCTAAAGGTCGAACATTACTCTCTGTACACATTCATTCCAAACTGTCTCAAATATATCTCTCGTATATCGAGAAAAATCAATCCACCTTCCCATATCCATATTTCTTACATATTCACAAAATCAACGTTCGTTTCATATTTTTAGATTAGATCAAATCTCTTTAACGACTATATATATTCAATCCCATAACTTTATTCACAAATATCCAAAAGGAGATCGATCACTAACGAAAACAAGAAATTTCCGATTCTTGAAATTCTTCGAGCGCAATCCTCCAATTTACACTGTGCCAAGCATCCTTCAACGAATACGCGGCCACCCACAACGCTCACTGCGATCCCCCCGGAATGCGATTAACCCCCGAAACGAGGCACGAGAATTTTCCATCGTCGATCTCGCGACAGGGCCGCTAATAGACACGTCGAGCCGCGGCGCATAAGCACAAACGCGCGACAAATGCGCATCCATATCTCGCGAACGGTCCATTGTGCGAACGGAAGCCGGTGGTTCTGCTTCGCCAGCAGAGGAAGAGAGGGATCCCAGACCCAGCGGGGAATAAAACGACCGGCCGCGTAGCTGAGTTATGACGGCCGTGGCCCGAAAATATTTCGCGAGCTTTATAATCCTTGGAACCGTTTCGTTTCGTCGGCGGCGAAAGACGCGCGTGCATGCATGTACCAGAGGCACGTCTCTCGTATACGGGGTGAGCCGTTTAAGCGCGCCATCCGAATTCGCTCGTAAATTGCGAAAAGTGGATAAAGATTGTTGTGAAAAATAATTGCAAATAAAGTAATGATTGGAATGAATGAAAGTTTTGGTAGTACACGATGTAATAATAGGTTTTTTTTTTATCGATCCTTCTTCGTTTAGGGATGATTGAGTGATGATTTTGAAATCTTTAGCATGAAAGAAAATGGATTATTATGACATGTTAATTTGCTTAAAATAATATTCAGTTTTATCAATAAATAAGTTTCTGAGATTTATTTATTACACGATTCGTGTATTGATGATAAAGTAAAGATTGGAATGAATGAATGAATTTGGGAGTACACGATGTAATAATAGATTTTTTTTTATCGATCCTTCTTCGTTTAGGGATGATTGAGTGGTGATGTTGAAATCTTTAGCATGAAAGAAAATGGATTATTATGACATGTTAATTTGCTTAAAATAATATTCAGTTTTATCAATAAATAAGTTTCTGAGATTTATTTATTACACGATTCGTGTATTGATGATAAAGTAATGATTGGAATGAATGAATGAATTTGGTAGTACACGATGTAATAATAGATTTTTTTTTATCGATCCTTCTTCGTTTAGGGATGATTGAGTGATGATTTTGAAATCTTTAGCATGAAAGAAAATGTATTATTATGACATGTTAATTTGCTTAAAATAATATTCAGTTTTATCAATAAATAAGTTTCTGAGGTTTATTTATTACACGATTCGTGTATTGATGATAAAATAATGATTGAAATGAATGAAAGTTTTGGTAGTGCACAATGTAATAATAGGTTTTTCTTTATCGATTCTTCTTCGTTTAGGGATGATTGAGTGATGATTTTGAAATCTTCAGCATGAAAGAAAATGTATTATTATGACATGTTAATTTGCTTAAAATAATTCTGTTATATCAATAGATAAGTTTCTGAGGCTTATTTATTACACGTTTCTAATACGATTCGTGTATTGATGATAAAGTAATGAATGAAAATTTTGCACGATGTAATAATAGATATTTTGTATTATTACGACATGTTATAATAATACAATAAGTAAATTTCTGAGTTTCGTCAATTATTACGAAATTTATACAAAAAATCATTGATCGGAATCCGATTTTATATATAACGAAAATAACAGTTTAACGAATAAATTCAGGTAGCGCGCAGCTAAATGACTCACCTCGTATATAAATACGTGTATAAATATACGGGGAGAGCGCAAAATGGGAAGAGATAGAGAAAGAGGAGGATGTTAAGGTTCGGTGGAGGAGAGGCAGCGCGAAAAATGTCTCGATGGACGTGACGCCTCTCTTTTTTCCCCTTCTCCATTTTCCATCCTCGCCCCTCGTGCAGATCCAACGATATCCCCGTCTCGTTCTCTTGAACGCGTCTTTCGGACGCGGCGAGATCGCATTTATATGCAGAGTGCACCGTTCGAATATGCATAAACCTCGCATACCGGCGACTACCGGCGCGATGCGCTATTGGCCAAAGTAATGGAAGTGTTTAAGGATGCGTATAAAAATCGAAATTCAATATGCCGTAGAGCTTGAATTTACCGGGATAATATAAAGCACATGAGGTGCTTGCCTACCATTTCTAGAAACGTAATGTGATTACGAGAGGTAATTTGAACGATTGAGGTAGTTATTAATCGTCATGGACCTCGTTTCCAGTCAACCAAGGTGAGACAAATCCCTTTAATTCTCGAATTTCTCTTTTTTAAATTTTTCGTTCAAAGTGTTTTCATTTATTGCAATTGAAAATAAAAATATATATATATTTGGTAAGTTAGTCACACTTTTGTATATGATATCGTAATCTTTGATATAATAATAGAAAAAGATAGGTTGAAGTCCCTTCTGTATTAGAAATAAAATTTTCTAAAATGGTGAATCGGGACCATTTTCGATTATATACATTTTATGTCCGTCTCTTCTCTAAATGTATTTTAATACACATAAAATTCGCATATTCGCATATGAAACAAAGGGATCTAATCGAGCTGTTCGAGTTAGGACCGAAGAGGAACCTCTTTTCCTGAAATATATATGTTTGAGTCAGTACGTATGTTGATATTAAGATACCTTATTGCCTGCGTTGGCTCCTCGTATTTTCAGAGCAAGTATCCCTTTGTCTTGGCCACCGCTTTGGTTTTATTAAATATCAACCCAGGTATCTAGGCGCATCCCTCCCTGTCCTTTGAAACACGTGTATTCTGCTCCTTCTTGGCCTTGATGCATACTTTCTTCTGTAAAATAAAAAGAAATTTTATACAGACTCTCTTATAGAAATAACGAGAAGAGAATAATATTTTCTCTCTGATGTTCCCTCAAATTTACCTCCGTAACTAAAAAATTTGCAAAATTATAGCAATTCTGAAGAAGATAATTGTAAATAATGTATTTTGTTTCTAAGAAATTAAATATTATATTATATAAAAAATATTTAAAATTATGATTAAAAAAATTGAAAGGAACGTAACATTTTTTATTAAAGCTGTTACACCATCGAAACAAATTAAAACAGGAATTTAATTTTCAATCCGTTTATTTTATATTTTCTTCAGACACGTTTTTATAAATTCTTTGCAATATTATTAATTTAAAATATCAAATCGAAAAAATAACGAAAACTACTTCAAATCGATGTTTAATTTTCCTTAAAATAATGGAAATAAATCACCTAAATTACTTGTTCGATTATAAATAAAAAAAAGAAAAAGAAATATATGAGAAAAAAATATTTCTCACAGACTCATAATAACAAGTGTATACAATTAGTTAAAGAGGGACCACACTTCAAGATCCTTCCCTGTCAGCCCCCGGGGCCCAAAACGGGCAGCTAGTTTTTATCGTGTCAATTCAATCGTCCGTGCTGATAATTAACGTTCAGTGTAACGCCCTTGCGAGCGACGATCGCGATTTATGGCGATCGTGCTCGAATGTGCCTCGGCCGTGTTTAACTATTCCGCGGCGCAGGCCGATTTATCTCCCCGAATTGTCTAACACCGTCGACGAAAATTTATTTGCGACCGGCGATACGTCATACCACGGACATAACGATGTATCTGCGGCAAGAATCTTTCTCCCGATCGCCCTATGGATCGAACTATGGACAACAAAGTTTCGCAATACGCAAGTGGCGTGTAAATACGTTGCGCGCCGAAGCTTGTCAGAGAGAAGGAAATAATTCGCGGAACAATGCAGTTTGTAAAGTCAGACGTGGCTGAATTTTCTTTCCAAGCGGTAAAGGCGTGGTATTTATCGTGATTGATTTAAGAGACTATACATACTTTTAAAGAACGCGTTACTGTTGTACTTCACGTACGTACTCGAAAGAAGTTTGTGAAATTGAAGTTGTTTATTATCTCCTTTGAGGAAAGGAAAGGAAAAATTAAGATAGATTTAAAATTTTGAATTTTTCATCGAAAAATAAAAGAATGATTATAATCTTTTATTTTATACGATCCTTATGTACGACTCGCAAAGAAAAAGTTAAACTAATCCATTGAAGCTAATTGCGCGAGTCTTAATTAGATAATTCGATAATGCACGAAATTCTTGTAATAATTCTATAAATATTCATTCCAACGAAAAAATAATAACGAAATGTGGTGACATCAACTTAATAATAATAAATTAATATATTGGTATTATAATAATAAATTAATACCAAATTACCCCCTCCCCTGTCCTCCTCCTCCTGTAAAGAAAAGAATATAAAATACAAAAAAATACGATTAAAAACTTCAAAGATAATTAGAGCGTGGTGCACAAAATCCTTTCTAAATCTCTAAAGACCCGAATTCCATCGAGCGATTAGTCCACGAAACGAAATTGTACGTAATGACCAGTGGTCCGCCTTTTAAAGATCCTCTCCTCTCGCGAGAATGGGGATCTTTAAGTGGGAAGGTTCGCCTCAGAAATTATAGGGAGACTCTCGAACGGGTATATCCCTTAATATTCTATCCTCGTCATCATCATTATGTCATGCGCCTAAAAATCTCTCGAATCAACATATATTTGCATATTCAACGACGGGAGGGAGGGGGGAGGACCAAAGCACACGAAGCTATTTTAAAAGGCCGGCGGACTTTAATTTATTTTCTCGCCCTGCCTCACCACCACCGTCCTAGAATGGAATGGGATCAGGAACGCGCGTGTGTGTGTACACGGTGGATTTATTGCGGCACGTAGAGAGAACGCGGATCGCGAGAGTGACACCTTCGTTTCGTTCCCGACCTGCCAGCCGCATCCGTCTTTCCGCGAATTTATTCCGCTCCACAAGCTTTCGACCACTTCTCTCTCTGTTCATCCTCCAACTAGAAGCTCAAGTCTGTAGACAAAACTACTTAACCCTCGTAGGGAGAATTTCAAAGCGGGCCGCGAACATTGTTCATTCGATCGAGGAAGGCGACGATGCGTGAATCTTGCAGTAATTCGAAACCTTTGTTTCGAGCCTTTTTTTCACGTAGAAAATATAAAAAAAATAAAAAATAAAAAAAATTATTGCAGAAGTAATTCTGAAGAGTACACAGGGATGTTATAAAGCGCTGGTGGGAAAGTTACAGTGATACGAATTGTGTCATGAAATTGAGAACCGTAACGCCGTTATATAAATATTATCTTGAGCAATAAAATACAATCGCATCGAGAGACGCATTAATCCGATTCGCTGTAATATCACTTATTACAGATCACTTCTTCGAGTCGATTAATTTCATAACGCCAACCAACTTGGAATTCCAATCAAGGAATTTCACCACGATTTACGATCTTCGAGTCAATCGTACTTACTTCAGCCAGTAATTTATTATCAGTCCGCTATTTACCCTCGCTACTTGTAACGTAGCCTCCTCCGATAATTCGAATCGAATAATTATCCTCCCTCTCTCGTTCCATCCTCCCCCAACGAGAACAAATTAACGCGTTTCTTGCAACAAGAATCCAACTCGAATAGTAAAACTTGCCCGATGTTCAAATTACCAGAATGTATATATATATATATATATTTATACACGATAGAACAAATATTAGCAAGGTAAAACAAAGGCAGGCCGACGTTGGAGGCGAACTTCGACCGATCGAGGTGGAAAGAGGCAGCCTCAGCCGGAAGACGGCGCAAGATTTGCATAAAAATGCCATACATTTCTATCGGCAGACCGAGCAACGCACACAGCTGCCGGCTAAAACACATTTCGAGGGTGAGGGTGCGCCTCGAGCGTCGGTCATCTGCTGGACGAGGATCGTTCGATGAAATACTTTTCAATTTCATCGTGGCTCACGGTGAACGCACGGTGCTTTCGAATATTTATAATACCTGTATACACGGTTCCTCTTGGAGGAGAAACGAGAACGGAGCCGACGAGTGGCGCAGTCGATGGGGGTGGAGAAAGAGAGAGAGTATAATAGGTTGTTAGTAGCGTGGTTCGAGTTTGCCGAGGTACAAGGGACAATGTGTGATTGTTTGAAATAAGTAATTGTATAGTTTGCTGGTTCCTTTTTGGTATGGACTCGAGGGCTTGGTACAACAACGTTCAAAAGTCTAAGATTCTTTTATTTCTCGGATCGTCGGAATTTTCTTCGTCAAAAGTCATCGATTGTTATAAAATCTCAAAACTAGTTAAAATTTATGTGAAATTGAAGAAATAAAGATTTAAAAAGAAGTGGAAAATCGAATCGTACGATTGAATCTTGTAATAAATTCGAGAATAAAAATTATTTTCAAAAAAATAATTCCATCAAAACTAACGTTCCAAGGACGTTATTCGACGCGATAATCGTTCCTCGTATCCTCGTACAATCTTCCAGAACTCGTTACGCCACTTAAATCCCAATTAGTGCGCCCAGAAAAAACAAAATCGAAAAAACAAAACGCTTGCACGACACGCTTTTGCGGCTTACTGTATAGGACCGACTCGAGAGAGAGAGAGAGAGAAGAACGTACAAAGGAGGGAGGGGGTCTCCGTTCAAATCGTATGCAAATGAGCGCGCGCTGGAAGGCCAGGTGTACGCTTATAATTTGATCAGAGGGGGCCCACCTCTTCGCCTTCGGGTCGCAATGGCTACCGTTTCCTCTTCGGGATGAACGCTCGCTCCCAACTCCAGATCCAGATAAAACTTATTACGGTATCGCTCAACTGTCACAACAGATCTCAGATAGAATTCTTCAGGCTCGACGTCTAAAACTGCGGCGAAACCGATTTCGCGCCGGTTCGTTGGCCAGCATCGAAGGAACCAGTGTGTGTGTGTGTGTGTCTGCGTGTCTCGTGGCCGTGTAACCATGGCTAATCCAACCTGATCCGACACGATGTGTCTATTACATCGTTAACAGTCGAGCTCTCTCGGATAACGAGAGTAGGGATGTACGCGTAGACTTTCTTCTGGCATCATCCTATGAATTATGCATCGTCGAATCGTCTCGAATCGAGTGACTGCGGCTGGACGTGGCTGGTTAATTTCGAGGACGAGTTTTAGAGGTTGGTTGGAACGGGATCGAGATGATCGAGAGGTGAGAATGTACATAGAAATGGGTGTTTTCGGTTAAATGAGGGAAGATAACAAGGCAAGGTTGGGTAAGAGGGATATTTTATTCATTAGCGGATGATGAGGGACGTGAATCGTTGTGGGAAAATGATAATCTTGGAGGAGCTGTAAATATTAATCTCCCTTGCTTTCTATGAAGCTTCTAGCGTATTAAGGTATGCAAGGCATAAATTAATCCCTCCGTTGCTTTCTCCGTTTCCGATCGTTTGCTTCTACGATCGAAAAATCGTACGCGTGTAGGCGTGAAATTTTATCGTCGAAGCGAGAGAAGAGAGCTTTCCTAGTCTGAATTTTCTCAAGCGAGCAGACTCCCCATATTTCCGATTCCAGGTAAAAAGAGGATGCCACTGATTGTGCAAATGCGTCCACCAAGAAGGAATCTTTGTTTTGCGAATCGTTCCCTCATTTCCTCGACTTTTTCATTATTCTCGTGTTGTTAGATTGTCCTCGATGACGATTAGATTTCCGTGCCTTTAATTAATTTTAATTTCGATTTAATATGCTTGAAAAGAAAAAAGAGATTGTACACGTCGACTTTTTACCGTTTCAAATTTCATCTCTATTAAAATTGTAAAAATTCAATTCTCTTCGGAGATTCTTCTTAGAGAATCCTCGAGGATTCAATACTCGTTGATTAACAAAAACTTCGATAATTGAACCATCACGCTTACAATTATTTTCTCTCGCGGAAAAAAGAACTTAATAACTCTTCCACTTCATCCGAGTTAGATTATACAACGTTATAGATTATTCTGCACGGGAGGGCACAAGTAGCGCCTCCTCATCAGAGGTGATAAAAGAGGAAAAATCGAGGGAGGTTTCGACAGTTAATCCT